AACGTTGAAAGGCAAATATGGAACCAAGGTAAATACGAAGAAAAATTAGAAAAAGCCGAAAGAGAACGATATATTCAGGGCTTACAAGCAATAACTCTGGAAGTACGAAAAACTCCGGGATCAACTCCTTCACGTCCGCCATGTTATTTCTACTAGCACTCGTCCATGCATCACCTATGCTATGAAACATCCTGTCTGCCAAATCAAAGTGACCGCCCTAAAAGCGCTAACTTAAATCCCACCTTAAAGCCTAGTGATAGGTCTAAAACATGTACTAACCTGTAGGCTTAAAAACTGCTGAGTGAACGGTTCCAACCGGACCAAATACGAAACAACAATCATAGCCGAAGAGTAATGCGTTCCATACATATAAGGTGGAGTTTCTCCTGTTGGATCATCCCACTCACGATATCTGGAAACTTAGGTCTTGAGGTGATCCTGCTCAACAACTTAAATCTATTACACCTTTTCAAGAACTGCTCGAGTCTTTGCGGGTGTTGTGCTCCCATTGGCTTTGATAAGTCACGAAAAGTTTTTGGATTGGTGAAGTCCAGTGTTGACGATGTGTAGTCGGCAAGCACCCATGGCAATATGGGATACTGCGACAAATCGTTGTAGGATCTGAAAAGATTACGACCGTTTTAACAAGCTGAAAGAGCAGCATTTTAACACATACCGCCCAGCTAACGTGTTCAGATGAATCAAATATTGGAAGTTAGTGATTTGTCCATTCAACCAACGCTGCGTCACAGATTGTTGTCCAATGATAGAATTTATTAAAGACGCTCTGCCGCTTTGCTCAATTGCCATGTTGGCTTTCTGTCCACCAACAGAATCAGTACCACCCGATGTGAGTCCTTTGGCCATCGAAAGCAGCCTTAATAATGAACGTCTCCAAAGCCCTGACAAGACTATTGGAAGCCTTTGATACTGAAGGCACTAACTTTTCGTACACACGATCTCTCATCTTCTTGGGAAATGCTAGCAGGTAGTTCCTTCCATCTGCGCTGAACACTTCCAGAGCAATCGGTTGTAGCAGATATCTGAAGTATGTTTTCATCAACAGGGAAAAAATATGAAGCTCAACTGCCGACTCTTTCTATAAGCAAGAGTTCCGATTGAACCGCTTGTTTTCTTGTAAATTACTATCGCGTATCTCATGCATTAAAAAAAAGAAAGGAAAGAGGCAAACTCCAACGTAAATCTTACCACTCACCTTCTCTTATGCACTTCCCTGATATCCTCGTAACTAAACTTGCTACACAGCCTTGATGATCTAGGAGGATGTGTTGCTCCGGTGGCCGTATAAGGGACGATAGGATCATGAAGCCTGAGACAGCCTTTGTGGTCATGAAGCATTCGGAATCAACATTCAATAACAACTCACTCTTGGCTCAAAAAGTCTAAATCTCTTATTTCTCTAGTCTTGAGCAGCGTGAAGCCATCAACCACATAGTAATGCTCTCTCCCAAATAGCAACAACCCTTCAGAAGTTTCCAATCCCCGAAAAAATTTATTCAGCGCGTACAAAAATGCGAAAAAAATAGCAATACTTACCTGTATTCTTGCACAACGAAACATGCTATGCAACTGTTCGCCTTGTTCAAGCAATCGTAATAAGGTTTGATTATCTGGTCCTTTCTTCTTCTTCATTTCATTATCTTTCTTCTCTTCTTCCTTAGCTTCTTCGCGGCTTTCTGACATTGGCTTGTCACTAGCAGAAGATTCATCTTGCTGGTCTTCCTCCAATTCAACTGATGGCTCCTGTAAAACGATGCCGAAATGATTTAAACTCCACTCAATAACGCTTACTTTTGTCCCGTTCTCGTCTCCGTTTTCATTGTCTTTGCCATCATTGTCGCCCGCCTTTTGCAGCGTCTCCAACTGTGGTCGTGCCGATAATCGCCTGATCAACGACGTGTTAATTTCTGGAAGGGGTTGGAGTACTTTGTGGTACTGTATGCTGAAGCAAACTCAGAAGCGGTGGCCTAATAACAAAAAAAAA